GTGCTGGTCAGGCTCAGGCCAGCGCCCATTGGCCTGCTGCTCGCCCCATGCTGTGCACAGATCCCTGGCTGCCCCCCTTGTCTAAGCCCCTCATTGCCCAGCCCTGCTTGGAGGTGGAAAGTCAAACAATACGGGACATGCTTGACATTCCATCCCAATCTACATGGCATCTCATTTAGGAAATACCGGACACTTCTATTTCCTCATTTCTAGTGTCTCAATTGGGTTCCCAAACTGAACGCTCAAATACTGGACTGTCCGGTTCAAAAGCGGACACCTGGCAACCCGGCTGGAAACAACACAGCAGTTAAAATTGTGACAGTCAACCGTAGCTCCTCTGTGATGGTGATGAACCATCTCTGGCAGCCATGAGAAACGTCAATCCTCTCTCCCTCTGATCTCGTGCTTCTTTTCTTTTCGTCCTTCCAGTCCTGCCTATAGTTATGTCTAGACTGCTGCTTTTTATTGGGAAAAGGTGCGCAAATTGCACTCCGCAATTTGCATCCCTTTTCCCAATAATTTTGTCGGAAGAGGCTTTTCTGATATTTGGCCCGTCTTCACTGGGCCAAATTTCGGAAAAACCTCCTCTTTCAGAAAAGCCCTTCTTCCTCGTGGCATGAGGAAGACCAGGCTTCCGCAAAAGCATGTCTGCTCTTCCGCCAAAAGCAGACACGTTCCTCTGGTACACTGGAAAAACTCAGTAGTCTAGATATAGTCTATGCTCGCATTTGCAGTACAACACTGCTAGCAACTGGGCTCTGAGCAGGTGCACAAGCCCACTTACACAGAGCTCATTGCAGAACAGAGGCCTAAACTTCCTAGTGTCCAGCCTTCCTCTTGCCTCTCCTCGCATTCCCTTGAACATTAGCCATGCGTACAGCACTGCATTTTAGTAGCAGGTTCACAATCTAGAAATCCAGAAACTATTGGAGAGTAACAATGCCCCCCAGTGGCTGTTTCTCTTTTGTTTTAAACCATTAGATTAGGTTAATGAATAAGTCAATAATTCTACCCCAAAACCATGGCAAAGGGACCAGTGAAAACTAGGCACAGCATCCCTTTAATTCTTTGAGAGATACATATACATCCTGGCTACGTCTACACTGCAGGCTTCTTGCACAAGAACGGCTGTTCTTGTGCAAAGACTTGAGGAGCGTCTACACTGCATGCGCGTTCTTGCGCAAGGAAATTTACAGTAAAGTGTTGGAACAGAAGACTTCTTGTGAAGAACCAGCAGCCAGGAGAACAATGGATGTTCCCTCTTCATGGGCAAGGTTATAAAAGTATCTTGAGAGTGCCTCCGTCTTGTCTTCACTCCTGCTCTCTGCTCCAGGAGCACTTTTGCCAAGGACAGAGGGCTTGGAAGGATTCATGGACCCATCATAACATAGGATGTTCTCCAGAGACTTTTAAGCTGACAGCTTGTTACATCTCTGCTAAGAGCCCGCATCAAGAACTTGGTGATTGATGTATGTAATGTATTTGCTTTAACAATCCTACTCTCAACCTTTCCTTTCTTTTATGAATAAACCTTTAGATTTTACTTTCTAAAGAAAACCTAGTGTGTTCTTTTGGGTAAGATCTGAGGTATAAATTGACCTGGGATTGTGGATGGTTCTTTGGGACTGGGAGAACCTATTTGGAGTTGATGAAATCGGGTTTAATCTCTCACCTGCATAAAGTAGCGGTGGCTGGTGCACAGGTAAAGCTGGAATGTCAGGGTTGCTTGTGAGACTTCTTGCTGGCTAGAGTGGCAGCTGAAGTGATCTGTGTGACTGGTTTGGTGCCTTATAGGGAAGACTTCTGGTTCTGAGCAATTCACCCTGATTTGACACTCTCAGTGGTTCCCAAGACCAACCTGTTATGTTATAATGTCTAACCATCTTAAATAGGTGTGAAATTATAAGACTATATATTAAAATACAGATGCTGTCAAATGAAGGATGAAATATAGTAAATATTATTTTTCTTATTGTATTATTCTTCAGTATTTAACGGCCTCTTCTCTTCACCAAAACAGACTTAATTGGGAAAATATGATGTCCAACTAAGAGTCACAACTGAAAAACTTCTACAGACTACATCACCTTAAATATGTATTTGTTGGGCAGGTGATCTGGGAAACTTGTAAAATGGAAACTGATACATTGTCCATCTTCAGAATTAACAACAGTATAGTGGAAGTCTCCTTTCAAGTAAGGAATTGTAAAGGTTTATACTATAGCTTAATAAATACTCATGGATAAATGCCAAATATCTGATTAAGAAAACAAGTGGATTTTCCTGTTGCATATTAAAAGCCTAATAAAGCAAAATGCTGAGTTAATGGGAGTTAAGAATGCTCAGTACCTGCAACATTTATAAAAAGGCAAATGTTCTTGTTATTTAAAAATATTGTGAATCAAAGTCTTGTGGAATACACCCAACATTGAAGCAAACTGATCAGGGGGCTAGAGGACATTCCATGGTTAGCCAAAGTTACATTACGTTTACCACTGCTCCATCATGAAACTTTCACTGTAGTAACCAAGAAAGATTACAGAGGACTTTGGCAAGAACTAGACTTTGCTGGCAAAACTAGTCATCGTGAAATGCCATTATTGCACTAAACCACATCTCAATTGCGGTTTATTTTATTATACTCATGGCTAGGCTTCTATAACTAGCTATAGTTTATCCATCCCCCATGTAGTGAGAGAGACCCTGGCACATACCTACCTTGAGCATGCCAGGCTGCACCCCCTTTTCCTGCTTATGCAATACTTTTGCATTTTTGGCTGTATTTCTACCCCCAACCTTCTCACATATGCACCCCCTCTGCATCACTCTACAAAATGGTGGAACCTCCTTATCAACTGCCTCCTGGTGATAGTCAAAGTGGCCATCTAGAACACCAGAAAGAGGATGTTAGCTGAAGGGATTCTTTGCTATAGTGCGGCTCATTTCCAATCCACTCTCTGCACACGTTTCCAGGCAGAGTTCTTCCGGATGGCAGCTGCTGACTCCCTTAATAGGTTAAAAGGGAAGTGGTGCTGGCCAGGGTTCTCTGTTTGGTATCTCCAGGTTCCCTACCTTTGCCCCTCCATGACTGACCTTGTTTTTAATTTTGTTGTCCCCCATATTTAACTGAGTCCCAGGCTCAGTGTATCCTCCCTGTTAGACTAGAGGAGAGTCCTTTAGCCATGGCAAGTTTGTGCCCACCCACTTCCCAGAAGCCAACAGGATGGTTCACCCAAAACACATCTCCCACCTGGTTTTCAGGTGTTGAGCCTGTAGTTGAATGATTAAATGGGTTCTGACTCACTGACACAGATGTTCCCTTCCTTCCCACCAGCCTATAAGGGAAGAGAACTACTTTCTTCCTTTCAAAGAGATTTAGCAAACCAGACCAGGTGTAAGTTTCCCCTATGTCACGTTACTGAATTTGAGGGAAGCAGGCAGATCACTGCTGCACCCATAGGTGGGGGTGTTGGCCCCAAAAATGGTATAAAAGGGGCCCATGTGGGGTGTTGAATAGAAGCTTACTGTCTGCTAATCCTATGTATGCTAGTCATGTGATTGTATAATGTCTGTGTGTTGTTAGGAATCTGTAATCTGTGTGGATACTGAATATTTCTCTGCATGTGGTTGAGCATTGGGCAGAGCCCGGCCTATGGACATGCTAATTAGCGAGGCCCTGTGGGACAATGGCACTCAATGGGCCAAGGACACACCTAAAGAATGAGGGCTGACACCGAAGGGCTGCCAGCAGGGAACGCAGGGATGGGCCACTGGCCAGGTGACCTGCTGCAGCCAAGAAGAGACCAGGAAGGATGTATAAAGAGGCCATGTGGTGAACTCCATTTTTGGTACTCAGCTCAGCACTTCAACCCAGAGGCAGCACTGCAGGGATCAAAGAGCCAGGAAGAACTGTGGACCCATCCTGATCCTAGGATGCGCAACAAGGACTTTTGAGCCAGCAGCTGTAACATCTCTGCTAGAGCCTGCATCGAGAACTGGGAGATTCGATGCATGTAATGTATTATCCTTTACAACCTTACTCTCATGCTTTTCTTTATTGTAACAATAAACCTTTAGATGTTAGATGCTAAAGGATTGGCTCAGCGTGATTTGTGGGTAAGATCTAGAGGGTAAATTGACCAGGGATCTGTGGCTGGTTTCTTGGAACCGGACAGAACTTGTTTGGGGTAGGTGGGATTAGGTTCTAAGACCCCCCACCGGTGTATGAGGCCCGGGGCCATTTGGGGCACGGATATTGCTGGGGTTTTGGAGGGGTTTTGCTTGGGAGGCTTCAGGCAGGCTGCTGAAGTGCTCTGTGGGACTGGTTTGTGGCATGTTTGGAGAGGTCACTAGTCTGGGGACTATAAGGAGCCCCGAAGTTGAGCAATTCGCCCTGAGTGGACACCCTCAGTTGTGCCCAAACTCGGCCCGGTCCGTCACACCCTACCAACAGGCAAGTAAAGGAAAATGTTTGAGGTGAACTTTATTCAATTCTTTGTTAATAAAGAACCCTGAGGGGATGATTTGGCTTTACATAGTGTGGACTTTGTGTATTGTAGTTTAGAGTAGGTTAAGAAAGACATAACCAGGCATATCAGTGTGATTATGTGGGTGCATTTTACATGGCTTTCAATGGTGCTTTCCCATCTCATTTTTCCTTGTAATTTTAAAGGAGACTTAGCCAGCCAGCTAATTCAGGACTTAAAATACCCTGGATTGCCTTTTATAGAAGCATATCGTATTTCTGCCAAAAAGTTGTGACAATGGTAATTTCCTTATGGTGACAAAAACTGAACACAGATGGATACAAAAAAATCCAAGAATTTACTTCTAGTTGCAATCAACGACTAGGTAGTGTCCTTCCTATAGCACAACAGTAAGAATTTACTTCTAGTTGCAATCAACGACTAGGTAGGTAGGTCCTTCCTATAGCACAACAGTCGTAATAGCAGACTGTGCTGACATTATAATTCCCACTCTAGTACAGGCTCAGAACAAAGGAAAAATAGGTCAAATTGGTGAAACTATCCAAGCTTGCCAGCAGTCACCACAACCATCACTCAACTGCATTACAGCTGTGTGTTGGGGTACCTATACGAAAGGTACTGTAGGGCTGAGGGAAACAGGAAGTAAAGTTAGCCAGTGCACTCTGAGCCACTGCTTATTTGCATTCCCATTAGCAGAAAATGCCAGAGTGTTCCAGTTCATTCACGTGGCCTGTGTAGGGTTTCATCACGAAAAACTCAAAGGTTCAAGTCCACTGGAAGGGCACATCATAAGCAGGGCCTGGGCCACTGCTAAAATCAGGAGGGGCTGCTGAGGCCGTAGGGCTGGGTGTGCAATCAGACTGTGGAGGCTGTCTCAGCCCTAAGGGCAGAATGGGAGGGCTCTCAGCTGGGGGGCTGCCTGGCTGTGGCCTGTGTAGGGTTTCATCACGAAAAACTCAAAGGTTCAAGTCCACTGGAAGGGCACATCATAAGCAGGGCCTGGGCCACTGCTAAAATCAGGAGGGGCTGCTGAGGCCGTAGGGCTGGGTGTGCAATCAGACTGTGGAGGCTGTCTCAGCCCTAAGGGCAGAATGGGAGGGCTCTCAGCTGGGGGGCTGCCTGGCTAGGGGGGGGGGCCTTTAGCCAAGGGAGTAGGGACAGAATGGGGGTGGGGGCTCTTAGCCCGGGGGACTGGGGCAGAAAGGGGACTTTCAGCCAAGGGGGCTGGG